TATTTGCAATTTCTGGTAAATACTGACACATAATGTGCATTGATTGTGCATTAATATTAATATTTTCTCATACTCCTTGGGAGTCAAATGTGACTGAACACCTTAAGTGTAACTTTTTATCAATTAAATAAATGTACTATATTTTAGTTCAGTAATATTTAGTTAATATTTTAATATGTGCAATAATTATGATCCATGAATGACCATTTAAAATATAATATTTTCTAATACATTTATTATTTTATTACAATTAGTGTAGTATTTAAGGTTAAAATATAGAAATTCCAATGCAAAGAGGCAAACTACAGGCATTTGGTGTCTGGAAAATTAATATTAATATGTAATGCCATGGTCAAAGCACTAGATGCCTGTATGGCTGTTTAAAGGGATAGTTCACCCAAAAATGAAAATTACCCCATGATTTACTCACCCTCAAGCCATCCTAGGTGTATATGACATTCTTCTTTCAGACGAATACAATCAGAGTTATTTTAAATAATGTCCAGACTAATCCATGCTTTATAATGGGAGTGGATGGTAGCCCAAAATTTGAAGTCCAAAAAATTCCACCTTAATCTCTAGCTTCCGCTAACTGTCGTACACTAAGGTTTATAAAGTTGTAAATATTGATATTTTTCTTACACAAACACATCGCTTCGCTTCAGAAGGCCTTTATTAACTCCCAGGAGCCGTGTGGACTTCTTTTATAATGGATTGGTGCAATTTTTGGGACTTAAAATTTTGGGCTACCATCCACTCCCATTATAAAGCATGGATCAGCCTGGACATTATTTAAAATAACTCCGATTGTATTCGTCTGAAAGAAGAATGTCATATACACCTAGGATGGCTTGAGGATGAGTAAATCATGGGGTAATTTTCATTTTTGGGTGAACTATCCCTTTAATAAATACACATGTATGCAGCTCTGGTCTAGTTGCTGAAAAGATTACTGGTGGTCAGTTACTTTTTTTTTAGGTTTTGCATTTGAATATATATTTAGACATTATCAAACACTCGATTTTGTTAAGTTTAGATTTTTTTTTAAATGTTAAATTTTAAAGGTTAATTACTCACATACTATTGTTATTTTATGATATTCTCATACACAACTAGAATCTGGTTATGGTCGTTATTAAAGTGTTGCTCACGTTGTCTAACTATCTATTATGTAATGATAAACATTAACTATAACACACTTCATAAAATACGACTACTGGTTAGATTCCTGAGAGGTTAACAGACGTGTTACCATCCACTCCCATTATAAAGCATGGATCAGCCTGGACATTATTTAAAATAACTCCGATTGTATTCGTCTGAAAGAAGAATGTCATATACACCTAGGATGGCTTGAGAATGAGTAAATCATGGGGTAATTTTCATTTTTGGGTGAACTATCCCTTTAATAAATACACATGTATACAGCTCTGGTCTAGTTGCTGAAAAGATTACTGGTGGTCAGTTACTTTTTTTTTTGGTTTTGCATTTGAATATCTATTTAGACATTATCAAACACTCGATTTTGTTAAGTTTAGATTTTTTTTTAAATGTTAAATTTTAAAGGTTAATTACTCACATACTATTGTTATTTTATGATATTCTCATACACAACTAGAATCTGGTTATGGTCGTTATTAAAGTGTTGCTCACGTTGTCTAACTATCTATTATGTAATGATAAACATTAACTATAACACACTTCATAAAATACGACTACTGGTTAGATTCCTGAGAGGTTAACAGACGTGTTAAAATGTCAAAAAAATGCAGTAATTTACTCAATTTACCAGTAATTGTCCTTGAGAAGCACTGAAATGAATGGGCTTTAATGCATGAACTATTGGTTGTTTGGAACTATTGGCTGCTCTATGACACATATTGCTTCCAGAGTGTTCCAGTTCCAGCTCTGGTTTTCTACGGCTCTGGGCTTCACCAGTATAATAAACAAAATGGCAGAACCAAGCCCTAGCATTAAAGGAAGTTATTGAATAATAATAATTCATATTCAATCTTATACGGTATTTTAAATGCATGACCACTGGCTAAGGATAGCAGGGATAGGCTTGCAATAGCCACAAGCCCATACATACTTGAGTATTGATACCCGTCACACCTACGACATACACTACCTTCAAAAGTGTGGGATCGGTAAGATATTAATGTTTTTTAAAAGAAGTCTCTTATGCTCACCAAGGCTACATTTATTTGATTAAAAAAACAATAAAACCGTAATCCTGTGAAATATTATTACTATTTAAAATAACTGCTTTCCATGTTATTATTTTTTTAAATGCAATTTATTCCTGTGACTGTTACTAGCCATGTTACCAAGTTAGATCAGCAAATTTCAGTTGGATTAAGATGGTCTCTCTGCCTAGCCAAGCTGATGCTCAGGTGGTTTATCTTGCAGGCTGGGTGGTCACCCAGTATGATGAACACTGTTCCAAACCTTTATAATAAAATCATCCAACATACCAGCCTGATTAGGCCCGGACACTAAACGAAGAGTCGCCAACTGAGCACCAGCTAGGAAGACTAGCGTAACCAGGTTTTAAGATCTTAAACCAGCAAACCAACTTAGGCTGGATTAAGCATGTGTTTTTTTCCAGCAGGGAACACCCTGCAAGCCTTGATTTGTGTAAGGCTTAATCGAGGTCATAAATATTGCTAGTACATTTCACAGTAATGCAGATGAAAGCTTAAATGAAAAAAAAATCATGTAGCAATAAACTGAGCAGCAGCTCTGGGTGGTTAATTTAATCATACACCAATTAATATGTCAAGCTGTTGCAATGCATGTTTTGTTTAGACTTGCTGTATTATTGGCCATGTTGAAATTCTAATCATCATGATTAATTCCTGCTGCAATCTTAAACCAAGTTACATCAGCAAATTTAAGTTGGACTAAAATGGTCTCTCTGGCTAGCCAAGCTGATGCTCAGGTGGTTTATCCTGAAGGCTGGGTGGTCACCCAGTATGTTGAACATTACCCCAAACCCTTTTTAAAACCATCCAACATACCAGCCTGATTAGGCCTGGACACTAAACGAAGAGTCGCCAACTGGCCACCCAACTGAGCACCAGCTAGGAAGACTAGCGTAACCAGGTTTTAAGATCTTAAACCAGCAAACCAACTTAGGCTGGATTAAGCATGTGTTTTTTCCAGCAGGGAACACCCTGCAAGCCTTGATTTGTGTAAGGCTTAATCGAGGTCATAAATATTACTAGTACATTTTACAGTAATGCAGATGAAAGCTTAAATGAAAAAAAAATCATGTAGGAATAAACTGAGCAGCAGCTCTGATGTTAGCTGTGCAGTAACTACAGGCCCAAACTATCTAGCTGCTAACCCGCTAGCTAAGGTCTGCTGTGGGAACAATGTGCGCTATTTTCACCGCCAATTACGAATAGAGGGTTTTCTATGCGATTTAAAACCCGAGAATGACCAGTATTCTCTTAAATGACCATATCTAATAACAGCCGTATGTGAGAAAATCAGATGTTTCCCTGATAGAGGTTATGAACACACTTGCTAACTAACGTTAGCTAATAAGTTAGTGCATCCTTATCACTGCCGGTCAAACTCACATGTCGATATCTTCTTTCAGTTTTCACCAAAATCTGCGTTGCCACTTGCGTACTCTCGCCTGTGGTAGTGTTTTGAATTTATGCTGTCAGTTCAAAGCGAATGCATAAAGACGGAAGCTAGCTGTTTATGCGCCGCTCTGTCAACCTGCACAGGATCCGCGCAGTGACGCATCATCTCAACGTTTCTAGCGACTTCTGCTGCGCGCTGCGCGCTCCGGGCCATGCGCGCACCCTGAGCAAATGCGTCTCCATAGTAACGCTAACCTCGCTCCGCCTCGACTGTACAGGATGTCTGTCAGCTGATGCAGGACCACTGATCTATATAATGACTATAATGTTCTCTATTATTGATCAGTGTGCAGGACCATAGAAATCACACATATAAATAATGTGATATGTTGTGACATTTTTTTCTTGTGTTATCTAGAGTCAGAATGAAACTTTATTGTCAAGATTCTCAACATATAGCCAAAGCGTAGTACTGAAAATAAATGAGGCGAAGTAAATAAATAATTGAAGACAAAAGGAAGAAATAATAATAATAAATGGTAGTAATGTTAATAAAGTGACACTTGCAAACATTTTTTATTTACTTTAATCTATCTATCTATCTATCTATCCTACTACTTGTTTTACTTCTGTTTCAGTTTTTATAACCATTTCTTACTATGTGTAAGTAAGTTGTTGTTTTTTTAGCATGTAAGTTTGGCAGTGTTATTTTTTAGGATTACTGATAAACTACTGTCGTTTGATTTGTATTATTTGTATTTGTTATTTATTTTTTAATTGTATTTAAATTATGTCTGAATTTATTATGTCTGTATAGGTATTTTATTAAGTTTTAGTTTTATTTAATTTGAGTTATTTGAATAGTTCAACAAACTAAATAGAAATAAAATAAAATATATATTGGATTTATAAATTGGATCTGTTTTTAGTTGTTTTAATACTACAATTGATTGCTTCTGTTGTACTCATTTGTAAGTCGCTTTGGATAAAAGCGTCTGCTAAATGACTAAATAATAATAATAAATAATAATCTATCTATCTATCTATCTATTATGGGCATGATGACTTGCATACAATATTACCAAAGTATCAATACACAAAAAATGTCAGGAAACAAAATTAATAATTAAACAAACAAACAAATCTATCTAAGTACTTTATTGGCATGATGAGTTGCATACAATATTGCCAAAGCAAAGAAAGTGTCATCAAACTAAATAAACACAAATAATTAAATAATAATAATAATAAATGACATTAATGTTAATAATAGCAACAATTGCACTATTAGTCCCGTTAATATATGCATAAAGGGTTGATAAGAAAAACCACAAAGGTCAGACAATAAAATTACAAGACGATTGATGATGTGGTCTTAAAGAGCGCCACACAGTGGTCACATCCCGCAATCTCTAATCCGGCTCAGCCAACAGACTAGAATGACGAGCTTCCTGCCTACGTTATCTTGTTTTCAGGGGATTTTTTCACTTTAACTACTAAAAGGTAACTACGTGATAACGAAATCTGACATAGAGACGCCGAGTTTGTGTCGCGAAGGAGCTAAAGGCTAAACAGTTTCGTCGTGACGGTCAGCGATGTTCTTTGTATGCATGTTGTCTTCCAGTGGCCAAGGACGGGGAACTGGAAAACCACAAAGAGACTGAGCCTGTGTGTTGATCGAGCGAAGTGTCATCCGAATTTAAATAAAATATCCCAAGCATTAATTCGCCGGGATTGTCATAGTTTTTAAGGCACGTTCAATGCAGCGGTCGTCTCTTGACTTCTTCGTCGAGTGGAAGCAGGCATTCTCCAGTTGCAGTAGGTTCCCTTTACATTAATCTCTTCCGGCAAAGTCACTACAGAAGGTGAATTCATTTATTACATGAACACAATAGGCTTTATCCCAATGTGTATTTGCATTATTGTTTTTAATTTAGCAAATGCTTAGGTTAAGGCAACTGCCACCCTTTTCTTCATCTGTCAGGTTGCTGGAGAATCCGCAAAATAAACAATGTCTTGATCTAACTTGTATATTTATTTTCTCTAAAACAGGGAAATAGGCCTGTTACTGCAATTAAAGAGAATTTATGGGATCACAAGGTAATTTAGTTTCAATAATACCATCACTGCAAGCATCAAGTGACATTCATGAGCAGGAGCAGGTAGAGCAACACAGAACGATCCTTTGTTTATACAGTGAGTGAACACATTTCAGAGCAGCTGATGTGATTCTGCACGGCTGCCTGTTGGTGTTGAACGAGCAATACTCGGCACAGCCTATTCATGCAAGAAACTTCATTGACTAAAATATTCCATCCTTATTCTGCACATCCACAAATCGATTTGATTATAAAAGGGTAAATGATAATATGATTAAACCTAATAATATAGTCCTTTTTATAAGAGATTAAGCTCAAGTAGCTTGTAAGATCTGGCTAAGAAGAATTTGCATGCTAGCCTGCAGCTCTTGTCAGGTGTGAAGTATTGTGAATTTATTCAGGGTTGACTCATTACACGTATATTCATCATATGTTTCTCCTGACAAGAAAAGGGTGAACTGATAACAAGTGCAAGCAAATTTTTAACCTCAAAAATTTAAAAAAGGGTAAAAGGTTGACCATTACTGCAATTGGTTAGTTAATATAACATCAATCTGTCTGTCACAGCAGTGTCCCGTAGCGTGACATGGTATATTTAATCTAAAACTAGTTTAATCAGCATTTTACATAATTTTTTAAATAATTGTTACTCTGATGTTAGACCTCATATTAAGTGAGAAACAACATACAATTATTTAAAAATGAATAGAAATAAAATATAGATATATATTGCAAATATTTGATTTTTAAATTAAAAAGTAGCTTACATTTATTTTTAACTATAAATATATAATTATATTTGATGATTATTATTAGAATTATATATTGAGCTCTGTATATATATAATTCTTATAATTTTCTTTTGTATAATTATTATGCTGTTCTTAAGACTACATAAAACTGTTTAAAAATATTTTTTTGTTGTTATTTTTAAAAAAAGCTAAATTGTTATTTAAAATGGTAAAACTCTGAGGAAATAAAAAAAAATTATTATATATTATCTAAATCTATTCATCTATTAATTTTTTTAAAAGAAAAGTGTATATTTTAGGTGACCTAAAATATACACTTTTCTTTAAAAAAAATTATAGATAGATTTAGATTATATATAATTCATTTTTTTATTTAAAATATTTTACTTACTTTTTAAACTCTGTGTATGTGTGTGTGTTTTAACTGAAAATACTGAAAAAAAAGTTTCATGTCAAGTAACTAATAAAATATTTATTAGATTTGGTGTAGTGTCAAATGTAGCATATTTACCACAAGAAAATAAGCAAAATACTAAATAATTGCACCATTTTTAATGTTCATGGTGGCATCATGTTGACTCTTGCAAACTGATCTCTTATCCTCACAGTTTCATCTGATGAGATGAGCGTGCGAGCGGGGCAGGGCAGTGACGAGGTGCTGGTGTCGCAGGCGGTGTGGGATTACCTTGCAGCCGCTGGACGACCCTGGTTGGTTGACTTCGAGGACAAGCAGGGACTGAGCGCAGACATCATCCGGCGCGGGGAGCGTGGTGGCTGCTGTGCTGTGCGGCTCTCCCCGGTGGAGGGCAGCAGCAGGGCAAGAACTGGGATGATGGAGGGGCCGGTTTCTCCTGTTACACGGAAAGCTTTCATAGACTTATGCCGCTGTGCCCGGAAGGAGATGACCAAACAAGAGGCGGCTCCTAAAAGGAAACGTTCCCTGTTACCATGCATGACGGCAATGGAACCCGACGGGGAAGGGACCTTGTTGCCTCCGCCTCCCCCTCATCCACGGCGCTCGCAGAGGCAACAGCAGAAATACAGGAAAAATGCAGACATGGACACCTGTGTGGTTTTACCCATGCAACATGAGCCCGCAGCAAGGACCGGCGCCGAATTAGCCATCGGTCATGAAGAAGAGAGCACCGTTTGCTCTATCTGCATGGGCGAAATGGTGGAAAAGACAACTCTGGACAAGTGCAGCCACTCGTTCTGTCGGTCCTGTTTAGAACAGGCGTTTCAAGTTAAAAAAGCATGTCCTGTATGCAGGCTGGTGTATGGGCAGCTTATTGGTAACCAACCGGCCAATGGGACCATGATGGTAGAAAGAGACCCGGACCTGGAGTTGCCCGGCCATGAAGGTTATGGCTGCATATGCATTATTTACAGTTTCCCTCCCGGTTTGCAAGCGGTAAGTACTGCTTACAGGCAGATTACAACAGCGGTGTGTTTTGCATTCAGATAACCACAGACCAGATTTCATTAATTAGTGCATAAAAATTCCACACGGAATCTATAATCACACACTATTATGTTTTAAAATTCTTTCAGCAAGAGCATCCAAACCCTGGGGTGAGGTATCCAGGCACAGACCGAGTGGCATACCTGCCAGACAGCCCTGAGGGAAACCGTGTCTTCCGCATGCTGCGGCGGGCCTTTGAGCAGCGCCTCATCTTCACCATAGGCACCTCCATGACCACCGGCATGCATAATGTTATTACCTGGAATGATATCCACCACAAGACCTCCATATGGGGCGGACCACGATGGTATGCAGTTTAATAGTTGCTTGCTAAATTGTATCTGGGGAATCAGTGATACCACAGGCATATCTCCCCTGGAATTGCTTTTTGACTTGAACATCAAACTTTAAAATTTAAAGCTGTTGGTTTGGGTGAGAGATATATTAAAATAGATATATTAAAATAATTTGGAGTTTAAGTTTGAGTTTAAGTAATCCCATTCCCTATTTCAAATTACATTTAATAGATCAAAAATACAGTAAAAACAGCAATATTAACTGAGATAACTGTTTTCTATTTTAATATATTTTAAAATGTCAGTTATTCCTGTGATGCAAAGCTGAATTTTCAGCAGCCAGTCTGCAGTGTCACATGATGCTTCAGAAATCCTTCTAATATGCTGATTTGCTGCCCAAGAAATATTTCTTATTATCAGTGTAGAATAGAAAGTTCAAAAGAACAGCATTTATTTGAAAGAATCTTTATTAACATTATAAATGTCTTTACAGTCACTTGATCAATTTAATGCATCTTTGCAGAATAAAACAATGAATTTCTTTCTTTTACTGATCCTAAACCTTTTAATCGTAGTGTATACTACTCATACATTACAATATACATTTATTTAATACATTTTAATATGAAAAGGCCAAAGAAACATTTGGCTGAACTTTTTAACTTGCGCTTTAATTTAATTCAACTTAATATTGCTTTTTTTTCCAGCTTTGGTTATCCAGATCCTACATACCTTGTGCGGGTGACAGAGGAACTGGGGGAGAAAGGAATAACAGCTGATTGATTCATGTCGAGCACTTGAAGTTTCAAAAGGATGGCAAACGTGTGCTTGACCACAGTCTCTTCACAAACACACTGTGTCGAATCAAGCCACAGTCATCTGCTGCAGCATTGATTTGGTCAGGACACTGTTTCACAATGTTTCATTTCAGTCTTTATGTTTAGCTTTGTTCTTTAGTTTACCTGAGTGAAGGCAGCGTGTTTCACATTTTCTTTGGTATAAACCTGGGGTGCACTTTACTGAGACAGATTGTTCAATATACTCAGCTGAGTTTAAGATACCCACTGGACTGCTAAAATGTGAATGTTATGAAGGTGTACATGATTCCTCATCTACAGTACAAACCTCCTCTTCCCTGTTTCAGGTTAGAATCACTAGGCTGCTGGCCTCCCACTTCTAACTCAGTTTCTTCCATCCAAACTATCCTTAATAACAACTGATGGTAACATCTGGATGGAGACAAATGAGGGACAAATGGCATTGCACAGTTAAATGGGTACAGCTGGGACAATCCCACACAACCTTTTTTTTCTAGTAATCAGCACTAAGAGGCACTTTGCAATGGACGTAATCTTTTTATTATGAGAATTTAAAGTGGGTTCTGCCTGGTCTTCCAGAGTGCAGGATCTAGAGAGGTTATTTGTGGGCCTTTCTAATTATAAAGTCCTATTAAAAGAAATGCAAGTCGATTTCAGTTTGTCCTAGCTTTCATCACTTATAACGTCCGTTTTTTTGTCTTTAATTTCAATATGATGTGCATAAAAAGTAATATTTTTGCTTTGTTTGTTGGGTTCAGTTTTCCCAAGTTTGTATTTTTAGGCTGTTTACAGATTTTTGAGTACATCCATTTTGGATGTCAAAACTTCTGTTACGTATATAAAAAATGATGTCAAATTGAAAGGGCGTGTAAACCACTTAAACCAAACTAAAACGTAATAGCTCAAAACTTTGCTGTAACCATTGTGTTTATGTCTCAGACTTGGAGCAAAGCCTAGCACTCAGTTTATTTTGAAGAATCAGCAGATTTGTCCATACAAAATTTGCTGAAGTAGAAAACAATTCAGTAACACAGCGAATGAGTCTCACAAAAATACGTCCAGGTCACATTTAACCCTAAAATCAAAAGAAATAAATGAGGAATTATATTTTGCATTTAACTTATTTTAGCGCTATTAAGATTTTTCTTTTCAATTAAACATTCTTTTCTGATCATATTTTAATGATTCAAATAGGATAAATGTTCCTCCGTATTTCAATAACTATTTCTTGTTATATCTATTATTCTCAATTATAATTGTCATTACTATAACACATATTACTATATTACAGTAAAACAGTAATTCACTTATTTCTTTTATTGTTAACACAAATTAATATATCAATAGCATAATTTCAAAATCATTTGAAATAGCTAAAATAACATTTTTGAATTACATTTATAATAAATGACACCATGCAAAAAACACACACAAAATAACTTTCTTTCAGCCAAATGTATTTAGTTTTTTTCTTTTGATTTCGGTGTGAGATATGGCCCAGGTTTTGTGAGATTCATCCAGACATCTTAAATATATGCTAGGCTGCTGTCGTTCATGCAGATTTATCAAATTTGTTTTGTATTTCTCTCATTGAAATGTTATTGTGCCTTCTGCTAAAGGTCACAGCCTGTTATATCTAACGGTACTCATTACTGGTTGGTATTGGTTCAACTGTGCTCTGATCAATATGGAGCATTAACCTTATTGCAGTCTTTAGGCTTTAAGCAAAATGCATCATATTTTAGAAAGCGTTGATCAGGTCTCGAATTGTTTTGCGCAAACCAAAACATTTACTTTGTGTTAAGAAGTTTTTTGTGTTGTTAGAGGTTGCTTATGTTTTACAGTATCACTAAACAGAAGTTTTGTTTTGATACCATATTCTCTTACTCCAACCTTTATGTTATGAAGGACCAATTCAATCAGGATTTGTAGGACTTAAGTGTTACCGTCATGCAAAATTCTATGCACTTCAAAATCAGATTTATAAAATAGACCTCTTCAGATGACTGATTGTTCAAATTAAATAATTTGCCTTTATAGTTGTGTTGATTTGTATTACATAATTGAATTGTATGCTACAATTAAAATGTGCTTTACATTTTCATACTTGAATAAAAGGATTCTGTTCTGTTACACTATGTTGGTTTTTATCAAGTTTAACTTGTCAAGGTAGTCTGCTTATCTCTGTAAATGGCAACATGACAGTGTTCTGTAAATATGAACTAGCTACGACCAGCCAAGAATTGAAGCTGTCATGCATGTCTGAAGTGCAGTTTGCGCAAAATGAACTAAGCTGAAAATGTACAATTTGAGCATGTTTTACAACAAAATACAATTTTAGTATTACTACAAAATTTCATGTTTAATTCAATGTGTTAAATGTAATTTTTGTACTTTATGAATGAAATTTACTAACAATTTCTTGAAAACTGATTCAAAGGAAATCTTACAGTTTTTTTCAGAGTACCATTAACATTAGTAGCATATCTTGTCACCAGGCATGTATTATCTCTGATAAATTAACTGTAATGCTAACATTACCCATGAAAGCTCTAGTATGTTAAAGAAAAGAGCCAAGTTACAACAAACTCCCTAAGAAAATCTTGACGTTAGTCATAATTACTAACCTCTTAACTAAAGGGATTAGTTGTGCTTGCAAACAAGTCATAATCAGACGAATAATGCAAATTTTAATTGTATTACATTGAAATTTATTCAGTACAATTTCTTTTGCAAGGGCTTGATATCTTTGTATATTCTGCTTTATATTTTTGCTTCTTCATTTAATTTGTCTGTAAAGCCCTAATGATAAGGTTCCAATTGTGACAACATTCCCCACAATATGTTGCATATTATTACAAAGTCAAAGTATGCAATGAACGGTATATTTTTTTCCTGGGTAATAATGGTGGAATTGGTTCAATTTATTTAGTATATTTAGTATGAACCGATTTTATAAATGTAAATGTATGAACAGAAATCTGGAGCCGAAACTGCAATGCCCCTAAAAACAGTTCGGGGCGCTGCTCTGAGATGCTCAATAGAGGGCGCTATTCACTTTTATAAACTCGCAAAGAATTGTTTTTGATAGACTGAAGTATAAACGCATTGTGTATTTTATCATTAATTCTCGTTATGAAAATTATTAACTTAACATTATTATGATAATATATTAACCTCATCCCTGGTAAAGGCATTCAATTATTCGACACAAACAGCAATTCTGTCTAGTATGTTAAAGAAAAGAGCCAAGTTACAACAAACTCCCTAAGAAAATCTTGACGTTAGTCATAATTACTAACCTCTTAACTAAAGGGATTAGTTGTGCTTGCAAACAAGTCATAATCAGACGAATAATGCAAATTTTAATTGTATTACATTGAAATTTATTCAGTACAATTTCTTTTGCAAGGGCTTGATATCTTTGTATATTCTGCTTTATATTTTTGCTTCTTCATTTAATTTGTCTGTAAAGCCCTAATGATAGGTTCCAATTGTGACAACATTCCCCACAATATGTTGCATATTATTACAAAGTCAAAGTATGCAATGAACGGTATATTTTTTTCCTGGGTAATAATGGTGGAATTGGTTCAATTTATTTAGTATATTTAGTATGAACCGATTTTATAAATGTAAATGTATGAACAGAAATCTGGAGCCGAAACTGCAATGCCCCTAAAAACAGTTCGGGGCGCTGCTCTGAGATGCTCAATAGAGGGCGCTATTCACTTTTATAAACTCGCAAAGAATTGTTTTTGATAGACTGAAGTATAAACGCATTGTGTATTTTATCATTAATTCTCGTTATGAAAATTATTAACAACATTATTATGATAATATATTAACCTCAGCCCTGGTAAAGGCATTCAATTATTCGACACAAACAGCAATTCTGCCTTCCTACCAGCAAGTGTAGCCAGATTTCAAACAAAGGCCCATTTCCATCGTAGGCATCAGGAACCACCACATGCATCTCTGCTTCCATCATCTGGAATGACACTCAGAACAGTAAATAGTAAACATATCATACTGTAATAATTCATATAAATCTCTGCAGCCAATGATTCATTGCACTGAACACCTGGAGGGATATAACTTTGGTGAACACGTATTTAATGCTGTCTGGGTCATATTATCTTTCACCTTGCATTGTTTTGTTCATGGTTTCTGAGAAAGAGGGGTTGCCATGCAACCTGTCCATGTTGGAATCTCTCTAATTTGGCCAGCTTTTATGAAACGTCGAAATGAATTTATGCCAATATACAGTAGAGATTAATTGGACACAGCCTTTGACGTCAAAAGACAACAAAAAAGACATGGCACGTTTTTTCCATTCCATAATAAGCCATTTTTTTTTATCGTATCAGTCTTAAGACTAAAGCATATTTTTAATACTTGAGGGGGATCATTTAACCCATCCAAGTGCACACACACAGTAGTGAGTAGTGAACACAAACACACACCATGAACACACACCTGGAGCAGTGGGCAGCCATTCTTACTGCGGTGCCCGGGGAGGAGTTGGGGGTGTGGTGGTCTCACCTCGGTCATGGTATTGAAGGTGGAAGAGAGCGCTGTCCATTCACTCCCCTCAACCTACAATGCCTGTATTTTACTCAAACCCGACTCTGCGACTCTCTGAGAGTGTTTTTGTGCATTTGTTTTTTGTGTATCTGTCTTCTAGCATGGACTCCGATGGCATTCGTTAGGGTTGATTCAGTTGTTTCTAGCTCTATTTGTGTGTTTACCTCATGACCCCACTGTTTAGGTGTCAAAGAATGTTTCTGAACTTTCTGATTCAGAGCAGTGTATGGCTATTCTTCTACCTGATTTAGCAGAGGAGGCCCTTAGATTCCTGAGAGATTCTCAGACGGACTTCACCATTAGGGCACGAGACCAGCTCTGGCAAAGACTGTGCTTTGGCTGGATTTCCAGAAGACAGATTGGAAGCCTCTTGTTTAAAATGTTAATATTTAGCAAAAGCCTGTTTCCACTTGTGAGAGTTAAAAAGAGATCATCATTCCTCTGTGAGCATGAGAAAATAAAATGGTGATCTGAAAAACCCTCAAACCTATTCTTATAGAGCTATTACAAGGCTATATAATGTCCACAAAGCGGATATCAGGGAAAATTGGACGCATAGGAAGCATTTGCTTGTAGGATGATGGAGCTGTGATGTTACTGAGAAAAGAAATATTACAGCATTTATGGATTTCTACCACTATATAAATTCAGTCAGGCATTCCATTGTTGTCCACTGTTGGCAATACCAGTCAATTAAAAAGATATAAAAAGCAGTATTTTGCACAGATAACGCCATAGAATCATGTCCACAAATAGAGGTTGGATAGTACTATTTGCACCACTGAGTTTATTGAGACACAGACAAACATAAGTGCTAATAAACTGTATATTACTACTATTTTTCTTCTGTTGATGCAATGAGCAGCCATATTGAATTATCAATTTGGAGTTGTCAAAACTCTGACTTGGGAGGGCATTCCAGTGAAAAGTTCCAACTGGGAACTCATAATTTCCAAGTTCTGAGGAAAAATGGAACGCACCAAAATTACAGTACTGTAGAAATCGCACATTTATACCTAAATTGTTCCCCACCCTAATTAATAAAAAGCTTGTGTGGACATTATATATCAAATTAAACAAAAGCATGTGCTGGTTTAGATGCTGTCATTTAACATCAAATTAAAAACCTGCTTAAAATTACATTAAAATAAGTCCTATAATTCCTTTTTTTGTACAACTTGCAGTATCATTATCAGAATGGTGGTGTTGATGTTGGTTAAACACAAACTCCTGAGTTTTTCACATCAGTTTGTCCAAGCATATCATTTTCAGTGCAGTCATCAGGACAGCAAACATAATTGTCCATAATTTATTTACTGCATAGGTGTAGGCATCACATCACTGCAAATGTCATATGTGTAAATCACTGCAAATGTCATAAGAAGCATCTTTAATATTCCACCCACTCAAACACATGTTTCCATTCATATATTTTGTGTCAGAGCCACCGAGATAGTCTGAGTTATAACATCTTCAAGCATGGTATGATTGCTGGTGGCAGATCCCAGGTAGCGCAATCGGGCCAATTGCGGCTGAGT